TGAATACACGATGATTCCCCCAGGAGGCTTCAAAGCCCGCCAACCAAACAAATGCACTTGACAGTTGTCGAACACGATGCCCGGATTGGGATTCAAAGTAGTAGGATATAGATGGAACTGGTAAAGAAGTGGTGAGCTTAGAGGTTTGGAAAACTTTTGTGTCAAAAGGGAAATGTTGTCAACAAATACACGAAAGAAATTTTCCAAAACCACTCTAGATTCACAAGTTCGTGATCGATTTCTAGATTATTCCACGGCTTTGGAACTCAGCTCATTCATTTCGTTCCAGTTGTTTCTCCCGCTGGACTAGTATTGCTTCTTTGTGAACCGAGGTTGAGCAATCGACATCAAATTTGGTGGCCTCGATGACCATCGGACAAGTGTTGAAATCAGTACGAGCATAAATGTCGCAGAGAAACCGAAGAGTTATTCGCAACCAACAGTGCAGTAGACATCCCGGATAGAGAAGTGGGTCTGTGCACAAGCGTAGCTGAAGTAAGCTGTTAGTGTTGGGAGCGCACAAACGGAAAACGGTCGTCAAGATCTTAGTTCCGATAAGGGCAAGCCGCTTAGGTGTAGTAATTGCGTTACGGGCCATTAGAAATAGGGAAAGTGAAAGCTGACAGTATTGGCTCTCAACTGCCAGAGTTATGTTCAATGGAAGCTAAAACTGAAAACCCAAAATATTACGAAATTTCGTCTAATTGTTCTGACCCCAGTGATCGGGTTGCACATGTGCAGTTATTCACTGTGGTTCATTAGGAAAACTGATGAGTGCATGTTTTGAAAATAAACTGAGCGAAGCGCCGATTAGATGGCTTGGGCACGCAGAGAACATAACCCAACTATCGGAACCCAAACACATTGGTTTAGGTGTGGTGGTAAAAGACTGTAGCACTGAACGGATATTCAACATACACGGTGTGATAATGTTGAGTCGTTTGAGTTACCGGAACTGTTGAGATAGTAGCAGATCGGAAGCCACTGAAGTACCGTCCATGCAAGCTGACAACAATCTGATGGGCTGGATGGACGGCAGAATTGGTGCAATCTAGCACGAACAAAGCCCAAAGTGGATCAGACCGAGCATAGTTGACGAACAGCGCGTGAAGCCCAATGAATTTAAGCAGATGTTATATGACACGACATCGAGAAATAGCTAGTGAATACTGATACAATAGAGTAGCGCCTCGAGTCTACCTACGGCATAAATAATACCACGGTGCAAGAATGACTGATTTTTGGTGACTGCACGCAGGCTTTTTTTACCCTCAGACAACCACACAACATAGAGCACATTGTGAAGGGAATAAAATTCAGGAAGTAGTGCGCTGGCTGAAACGACAAAGAACAAGGGAAATGAAAGTTCAAACGGAAAAGTCGATAGATGGCCCGTGCAGAGGTGGCGTGACGCAAACGAAGGACAGGAAAGACGGATTGTGTTGCGACTGAAAGATGGACATTGTCTGCCCAAAGATCTACACTTTTGACAAAGTGGTGGGTGGCCAACCCAGCTAAGCTGGAGAACACGACTGACCATGAGTGAGTTTAAATCACATGGGCCAGATTCTACTCTGTGGTAAGTGTGAAGCAGCGAATCAGTTGTCAACGAAGCCCCCTCTGTCATCAAAGAAAACCCGTGGCGCTCATGCGCCGTGCCAATTTCAATCGCAATGGAAGTTCCAGCATCGCAAAGCGAGCAACTCAAGGCTGATTTGCAAGAGGTAATCGCCGATATACCTCTGTACAACCATGTCACCCTTCCCACGCGATTACGAACGGGTGACACCCTCTGTTTTAAATCTTGTTCTCTCCAACGCGGAACTAATGGTCGACACCGTGACCATAACTGCACCACTTGGCCGTAGCTATCACGAGATGTAGCTCATTCGTTACATCTGCTACTCGGAGTGCATCAGTGAGAACAAAGAGGAAACCTATGTCCTTACACATTATGATATCTTGTCATACCTCGTTCAAGAAACCGACTGGCCCTTCCTGACCGAGAAACCGCCCGATGTCGCCTGGATGTTGTTCGTCACCAAATTCACTGAGCTAGTGGTAAATGTGTCAGAAAGCAAGGTCTTTCATCCGAAGCAAGTGAATTCGTTCCTGAGGAGTCGTACTAGAAAACGCATGGACTTAAGGGATTCAGTCTGGCGCACTTACAAAGTCTGTCCAAGTAACCTGACCTGGGGTGCTTACACAAATCAACGAAACCACTGCGTCAAGTTGATCCGCGATGACAAATTCCAGCGTCAACAGAACTTAGCGGCGAACTTCAGTACAAATCCCAAGTTGCTGTATAAACACGCCAACAAGCTCCGCAGAGTGCAGCGCTGGATCCCGGTTTTACGTGCAACAGATGGTCTTGCGAAAACCGCCCACGATGCAACCAATGTGCTTCGCCAACACTTCATCCATACTTTCCGGAGTAAATCACCATTTCATTCGCTTTTGACACAGCTTCCATCTCCACCAGAGTTAAACTACGTATCGTTCACGGGAGCCAATGTGATGGAAACGCTAGTGTCATTGCGCGTGCACAGCTCACATGGCGTGGACGACATCAAACCGAAGGCATTGAAGACAGCGGCCATGAACCTTGCCGAACCATTACCTCGGTTCCTTCAATGTTGCCTCGAGGGAATGCAGGTTCCCACAATGTGGAAACATGGACTAGTCACTTCCATTTACAAAAGTGGTAATCGTTCGGAGATCTCGAACTACCGCCCAATCACTCTCCTCCCGGTTTTATCCAAAGTAATGGAACGTATAATTGCAGAGGCGCTCATGGGATATCTTGAGAGCAACAACATCCTAGTGTCACAGAAACACGGATTATGTCAAAATCGATCCTGTACTACAAACTTGCTACTGGCCCGAGCAAGCTGGACAGAGTCAGCTGATGCCAGAGTGGGAGTCGACGTTGTCTACCTGGACTTCTCGAAAGCGTTCGATCGTTTAGACCACCGCATTCTCCTACACAAGCCTCAAAGCTATGGAACCGGTGACCCTATACTCGGTTGGATCGGCAACTTCCTCGCTCAACGTCAGCTGAATGTGAGAGTTCGCAGCTCCATTTCCGACCAAATTGACGTCCAGTGTGGCCTGCCCCAAGGATCGGTACTGGGGCCACGTTTATTCCTAACATTCATTAACGATCCTGCCAGTGTACTGAAGTCGAACTTCTTACTATTTGTAAATGATGTCAAAATTTGGCATGACATCAGGACATCGGATGATCACATGGCATTGCAGAGCGATCTCGACAGGGCTTATGCGTGGTCATCCGATAACCGGCTCCAGTTCAACGTGACCAAGCGCAAAGTCGTAAGCATACGCCATCAGCTTATCTATGAATATCTACTTGGGGACCAGCAGTTACAACGTGTTTCCCAAGAAAACGACCTCAGGGTGATGGTGCAGTACGATCTTGGTTGCTCAAGACAGGCTGAAAAGGCATCAAAAAGTGACAGTCAACATCTTGGAATCTTACGGAGGGCTTTCGGGAATTTTGAACCATCAATGTTTCCGCATCTACTGAACGCCTACGTGAGGCCTCACGTGGAATATGCGATCCAGGCTTGGCGTCCCTGGCATAAGCGCGACGTCGATGCACTTGAAGCTCCACAATGTAGAGCGACCAAACTCGTTAGTGGATTGTTTCATCTCTCCTACCAATGCAGACTGCAGTCCCTGAGATTGTACAGTGGTGAATATCGACTTCAGCTAGGAGACTTAAGCAAGGTTTATTTAATACTGACGAACCCAACTCACCCATTTCGCAATCTGTTGCAGCTGAGCCAAAATACCAACCTGAGACGCCATCAGCTCAAACTGGCTAAGCAGTACAGTCGACTTGATTGTCGACGAAACGTTTTCTCCTTTCGCGTGTCCCGTGCCTGGAATGCCCTCTCGACTCACGTTATCCTTGCCTCTACATTAACGCTACACAAAAACGCCTTGATTAAACGCTCTCCAACTTGCATTACTTGATATAGTCCGTTTCACTTGGAGGACGAAACAACGCAAACCTAACCATGTACTTAACGGCCCTTTCTGTAACGTGGCGGTGAGGATACATGCAAAAGTGTCCATGTGAGTAGCCTGGGTGTATCTAAACTGGATTAATATACCACATCTGTCAAATGAAGCAACACACGAGTGTGTGTTGTCGTTTCCTTTTTTCTTTCTCATGCATTTACTGAGCTATAAAGGCACTTTGTACTATTTTATGTGTGCACATCCCATTCCCACTTCAAACTATCGTTATGCAGCAGTGCATATAAATCGTTAGATGCTTAAAATAACGATTTACTTATTCGACGATCCTTTAAATTTTAGTTTTTTCTCCAACCATCCTACGGGACTTGTCAAGCACATGCTTTTTTACCCGTGATAGATCATTGTTCAAATAGCTATTCAACTCAACAACTTATATCGTTTATGATTGGGTTCTTAGGGAAGATGGAAATCGAATTAGTCACAGCTCCCCACAATGAGACGTGCGAATCGGCGCGTATTCCAGTTCACCCATTGGCCGAGTTGAAATGAACGCTGGATAGTACGCTCGAACAGTAGAAAGTACAGTGGTTCGATTAATCATAGAGAGAAAGAGGGGCAAAGTACCACGTCCAGATAAATGCCACTGAGATCCCGTAGGACGGCCGTTTGCCGAACCTCAGCAGTACTTAAAAGCACCAGTCAATGAAGCGTGTTGAACATCCTTCTCATGACGAACAACCTAATTAGAGAACTAGTTGAGCGATCCTATACCGATGATTGGGTTACATTGAATGCTTAGTCAAGAGGAGAAATGTCAAGCTGTAAAACTGAATTGACACAAACTAAACGAGATGGGTAAGATTTCCCTTCCTGTTGCAGAAGTAGGTGGGTCAACGACGCACCGCTTCCAAATCAATCGACGTGTCAAAGTTATGGAGGGCATTCAGAAAAGAGACTTTTCACTGCAGTTAGAGAACGAGATACGGTTTGCACTATAATGTTTATATTACATTTGTGATATGGAGAGGAATTAAGTACACAGGCAAAGATGCAACAGTTGAACTACATGACTCAATCGCGATGACGTCCTTCAAGATACTCCCGAAGCAAATCCACAGCCGGAGTGTTTGTTTCAAGATGAATTTGATACAACCTGCGAAGAACACGAAATGCGGCCAAGTTAGCATATGGCGTCAGTGTGACTGGATCTAGATACTTTGCGGGGAGGCCACTGATAGGACATATGCGAATTTTCCGTCGTGGCCGAGGTGGAGCTGGAGCCGGATTTGTCGGGTCGGGCAACGGAGTAGCCGTTTTGGGGAATGCTGCAAAAAGGCAATCAGTGTCGGCAAACGTGATCAGATTTCGACAGCATCTTACAGATGGATCCGTCACAATTGGTCCCCCGCGAATTTCAGAACTGGAGTGAAAAGATGTGGAACCGAAGCAGATACAAGATCAAAATAGGAAATTGCTGTGAGGAGTGGGATAAAATACAGGCATCAACAGTACGCCGGCACGCAGTATCGACGCTTCCCTGCAGCGCAACCACCACCAGTCGTGATATATATCCCGGTTAGCTTGCAAATTATGTGGCCCAGCCGTCGGCCTCATGGCTCTATGGCTTAAGCTGCTGGCTAGTTGACGTCAGCCTCTAGCGGTCATGGATTCGATCTCCAGTAGGGGACCGAGGGAATGCGCACCACTGGCTAGCCCCAATGGGGCGAAACGCGTCTGATGGCTTTCCGGATTGTAGTTGAGCTATGTAACTTATGAGCTGCTGAAACGAGTATGCTAAAATTAGAAAAAATGAAGTGCGACTGATTCCGAAACATGGGGACATACATCACCACGGAATATACGCTTTTTCTTGAATGAATATGTATATAATTTACGATGAGTAACCCATCGGCATTGGATCTTACGTGCCATACAAGCAAACGGTGGTATAATGACTAATCACAATCAGCAAGCCACGCGAGTGGCAAATTTGGCAACCCTTTGGAAAACAACTAGAAGATGCAGCAATAATGGACGTGTTAGTACTAATAATATGCTTTTATACACGCAAGTGAAGAAGTAAGCAGGAAAAAAACAGATCATCAGACAGGAAAATGCAAGTATTGTACACGGAAACTTAGTTGAAAATTTTGTGGCTTTGCTGTCGCAGAACCTGCTCTTTCAGAGACAGACGGTTTATGGGACAAAGCAATCTCGGCGAAAATAACAGAATAAGTTGACTGTAGAAAGCCTAGATGTGCATAACTAGGCCGCTGAATAAATAACGATGCTGCTGTATTCATTAGATTCTTCCAATGAATCGGCCAAACAAACTCACGCTGGGGGAACCAAATACTAACCATGCAGGGGAGAGAAAGAGAGGTCCAATCAACTGCTCTGTTCGTTAGCGGCAATCTGGCTGTTTGCTTCGTCACATACATCCATCTCGTCCATCCGATTCCATACACCCGTTACATTCTCGGCGGAATTTTCAATAAGTTGTAGCTATTCTCGTTGGAAAACTATTTTTATTCTGGCTACTGCAGTTATTTTCATAACACAATATCTGTTGCAAGAACGCAAGTCTACGAAGAGTACTCTTTTCGGCAAATCGTTTCACTCACTTACAATTATAAAATGGAATGTTGGAGCACAAAGAGCTGACGAAGCCAAAATATGGGGAATAGTGAAATAACGAAAGTCAGAAACTAAAGCGTCCTGATCGATGAAATTCGCTATCCTCTCTTGTGAAAGAGCACGTGTTTAATTGATCAGTGGAATCTCAAGCGCATCACCCGATCACTGTCAGCATGCGAAATACCAGATGTTGGTAAACTAATTACTGCAAAGGTAGAAGAAACCCTTGCAATAAAGCCCTCTGTTTGCATAGCTACGGTTATGTTATCCTTATCGCAATCGCTTCAGTCGTACGCTTCCTAAGGCTTTTAGGGTACCGTTTTGGCACTGCATACAGTAGTTTGAAGGTCCTAATTTGGCGTTCGCTTTCGACCAGATGTTGGTGCAACTGACGACGACTTTCCGCAAAGCCGCTGGGCAATGCTCCGCTATGCATTTAGACAGATGCCAGCTTGTATGTCCAACGTACCTCGCATCACAGGTAGAGGTAAACTGACATGGGATGTAGTATGGAAACTGTACCGGAAGTCTGTCTTTAAGGCGTTGGGCTATAAAAAGAACGGTTTCTGCAAAGACGTATGGGTAAGTGGCCGGGAAGGTTCGAGCCACTGCATTCGAAATCTTTTCCAGTTACCAGATAAAAAGGAATATCTCATTTGAACGGATTTGATAGGAACACATTTCCATAGGGACAGTTGAAATTAATTCACGTCTATTATGGATCACTGCATGCTTTTTGATGAAAGGTGCTGGGCAGCCGTTTTCTTTCAGCGTTTTGAGAATACGGATCTTTTCAGCATCCAGCATCTCTTGGCTGTAAATTTGCGTAGCGAACAAAATTACGTTTGTACCTCAAGGGTACAAAGCTTAGAAAATGCGTGTATTGTCTTACCCATGTGGCCTTTCGGAATACACTTCTTTCTAATGAACCGTCATATTTCCGGGGTAAATGGTGTCTTATTTTGTCAGTTTTTGTACGCTCTTCGGGATACTGCTCCATATTCGCGTATCGTACAATATTCACATAATGTAACAAATACTTTTAAACATTTCATGAGAAAACACTATGGGAATATAGCGTGCTGGCTAAAAAATCAGCCTTAACCGCCACCCAGTCGACATTACACAAATACCACTGACCCTATCCAGCAATATTCAACCGCACCTCGGAAAAAGTAGTGGATCTTACTACTACTATGCCGCAAAATGAAAATTCAAATACAACCATTTTTATGCTGCAAGAGAGCTGGTTACATTCTGAGGTGGAAGACGATGTTATTCAGCTTGTTTATTATCTTCCCATCAGATCCGAACGCCCAGAATGCATCAGAATCGTGAACGGGGTGACATCACATACATCAGCCAATGATGTTCACCTACACAACAGTCACCAGCACCTACCAAAGTTTTTGCTAGTCTTATTTGGAATTGGAAACGTATACCCAGCCCTAGACACGCCATCACCGTTGCAGACAATCTATTTTCGGCGTTACTGCCGAAACGTGATCGCTCTGTCTGTGTCATCGCCGGGGACTTCAATAAAAATGATACCACATTCATTTAGGCACTTGATCTGACGAACACGGTGACCCTTCCGATCAGACTAGGAGTGTAATTGGATTCGTCTTCACTAAGCCTGTTTGGCTGTTCTCGATGCAGAAACGAACCCCACTCGGTAACTCCGATCAATGCATTATAAACGTACAGCCCATCATTTACGACAAGACTAACTCCGGTCCATTGCCTAATAAATCCTATAGAATTATCAAGCAACGAGAGTGTTTCACATACAATATTGCGAGGCCGCAGGCAACGCTGTCTTTACTGATTGTACAGTTTTCATTAACGAAGATCTGTGCGAAAAGCTCATTTACAGCCTCAATATTGGCTTCGATCTGTGCCGTCCGGACGAAACCTTTTACTCACGAGTAGACAATCTCCACATCATCGCTATAAACAAACCAGAGCATGTAACAGTGTACACTGTTGGCATAGTTTTGGTTTCAGAATCTTGATTGCAATGGCTTCAGTAAATGCTCAACAGATGTATCTTGAGCCGCTTTGGGTAGCGTTTAGGGATGCTATAAACGACTTGTTCATCTGAACTTGGTGTCCAGTATCATAAGCAGACTCTGAAATTACTTTGGTCATGAAATTCCACCATCGTTTCATCTCAGCATTCAAGATTAAAATGTGGCCAGCTTTGAACACGAGTTCTTCCTCAAGCGATAGTCTGACTGATCAAACCGTGCCACCTGGTTAATCAGTTAATTGCTCTCTTTATAATCGTTTAACCAAGCTGGATAAGCCTTTATAAGCCTTATTGCTCTCAACATTTTTGTTCAAAAATTGTACATGTTGGATAAGAATTATCGAAAAGACTATTCTTTGGGCATTTGCTGACTTCTGACTGAAATGGGAATAATTTATAACCAAATTGTGTTAGTTGGAAAGAAAATTCGTACATAAATAGGGCATTTTCGAGAGTGGAGTCACTACAAGCCGAGGGATTGATGGGGTTGAAATCAGCGCAAGAGAATATCCATGAAGAAAAATCCAACTAGCCTGACGGTTCAATCAAAAGACTCACCTTTTTGGATCGACTACTACACCGTATATTTCAGGCTGATCGTCAAGCAAGGGAACAGTGAACGAATGAAATCGGACCATAGGTGTGGTTTCTTTGGTTTTTCGAAAGATGGCCTTCTTCTTCTCAATCTCCATTCGTTGATATCGGGCTAGTTATTGAGTAGGTTGGTGAAAGCAATCATGGGATTGGGGTCACATCAAGATTTAAAAAAGTGTGTCTCGGTTTAGCGACATTTCGAAGTTTTGTAAATGATGATGTCTGAACACAAGAAAAATCGAAGCGAGCTACTATCATACAGCGAAGCAGAACGCCGTTTGTTGTAAGCACAGGCGCCTCACACTCTGTATTGAAAGTGCGAGGGAGAACAAGGCAAATGGTGAACTAGACATTTAACCGCATTTAAGCTAATGATTTAAGAGCTCAGAGCTCAGTTGGGAATTCCGAAGGTGAAGAGAAAACTGGGGTACTTCAGAACACTGCACATTCAACGTGTGAAGTGCTTAATCCGATGCATCCGTCCGGTTGCACTTGTGATAGCAAATGCATAAAACGTCATGCCGACATAAGTCACGTAAGGATATTAGTTGGTCGCTTATGGGATGGACTGGAACGCATGACAGGCAAGTCTAGGAGTGAATAAAGCCAGGCTAACGTTGCGCTCAGACCAGCAACTATCAATCCGCAAAGGTGCTTGAAGACCACCGAGGAATCAAATTATGGTTGCCGCGCACACGGTCATTATAGGTATAACTGTGAGGTTTACTGGTTCTCTTGAGAATTGATCAAGTGACAACTAAGACACCCTTTGCCTTGACAGAGTACAATATGAATGTGTATTATGGTCAAGTTAGGTGCCGAATTATGCACTGAATTCACTGAGCTGTTTAATTCAATAGATAACGCTTCTACTCTGTAAGTGTCAAAGGGATCCACTCTATTCTGCTACTCCTGTTTCCATGAATTCCGGGACCGAACGTAGAACTACGGGATACGCATATGAGAAGAATGATAGTGAAGTCCAGCGTAAGCTTGCGTAAGTAGTAGATATCGAGAAAATGATAGACCACGGACTGGCGATGACTGTTGAAAGGGGTAGCACTACCGAAAGAATAATGAAGATGTTCGTTAGCTGATGAAGGAAAAAGACCGGATCGTCTGCTCAGCTTCAGCTGCCTCCACTGGACAAATCAAGTCCGTCGCGTATCTGCCGACAGCCTATCGTTGGCGCGTGATGTGTATTGTATCTTGTTTAGTGAAATTCCTAGATGAACAACTAACGTAGAACGGAGAAGTAATGTGAGCTGACAGAGAAGCTGAGTATCAGACTGTGCTATAGATAGGGAGAATGGGTTCGTTGGAGGAGCTAGATACCCCTTTCCATCGCGAAGAGACTGGACCTTAACGAGGCGCCATGGTTTGCGTGCCTCGGCGATCCACTGAGCTATGATGGGACGTGCTCTTTTGCATCTTCCGAGTCACTCATACCAGATTGGTCAGTGGTTAGAGGCCAGACAAATTAAATCTCCTGGCCCTCCAGGTTGGGAACTGGAGTGAGGGTGGCTCCCTTACTTCACAAAATTGACCCTCTGTAGCCCAGTACCGAAAGCCAGCTGTCTTGCGGTAAGATTTGTGGAACAAAAGAATTTAGTGGAGAACCCTAATCGTTCTCTTGTCTAGCGCTGGGCAACCTGACAGTATCCCACCTGCGAAATGCTACTCTATGAAATTCTCACTACACGATTTATCGTAGCTCTGGCCGTCGAAGAAGATAATAAACGGTGCACTATCTACCGCATCGAGCAGGGTGGATGGGAGTTTAGGTGCTGCTACTCAGGCGTTCTCACCTTCCTATCCCCTTCTTGCACTTTCTCATCCTTATCGTCCACTCCAACTTTACTTTTATCTCCCCCGTTTCAATCCCAAAAATTTTTGGTCCTCTCCCTTCTGCATCAGTGGTCGATTGTCTTCTAGTTTTGACTCCCATGCAATCGCAGGGCGTCGATCGAGTCCCATCGACAAGTCCATGTTCAACAAAGTGGATAACGTCAGTTCATTCGTTTCCCTTTGGAGCCCCGGATCCTCGAGAAGATTGGCATGCTTCAACGTGCGCATCTTGCTGCAGATTGGCCCAACAGCAGCAAGACCCTATGGAAACGACATCTACTGCTTATCGGAATCCCGCCTGCAAGATGCGAGTTCCGTGATTATCCTGCGGTCCAACACAAGCGACACTGGCAGCACGTTCTCATTGCATTTGGCTGGAGATAATGGCAGCTTCAAATACTGGTCAAGCCGGTATGGGCACTGCTCTGAGTCTTCAGGCTGAAGCCGCACTGGTTGGACTGGATTTCCAAGGAACAGCCAGTTGTGTGCCGTTAGATTGGCTGGCTTGTTCAGAGCTTCGAAGCCGCGCGTAAACAAAGAGTGCCCGTTTATCATTACGGCATAAGCGCCCCACAAAAGGTAACGCAGATTCCCTGAAAGAGGAATTCTACAACCAACTGAAGGAGCTCCTTTGACACAAGAAAATTATGGATACTGTGATCCTGGCCGGTGATCTGAACGCCCAAGTTCTGAATGCTACAATCATAAAGGGGTCAGTTTGATTTCCGTTATGTCTAAGATACTCGTCGCTTTCGTTTTTCATGGACTTGCTGGCACCCGTGGAAGCTAGATTCGCGAGGAGCACGCAGAGTTTCATCGGTAGCCGCGGATGTATTGATCATATCTTCACACTACGTCTATTACCGGAGCACCGCCATATTTATCAGCGAGCCACCGTGGCTTCGATTCGGTTGATCGATGTACGCCTTGGGACTGTCTACTGAGGACAGGTGCGACCGAAAACATGTAAATGTCATAAGAGCACTGTAAGCACATAGTTCGAGCAGATAAAGGGTTTACGGCAAACGGTCGCCGGCCTTCAACATCTCCAGCGTTGTAAGACAAGGATGCCTGCTATCATCTTTCTACTGCAAGTTCTCCATCGATGAAAGCATAGAAACTGCGTTCACTGGACACGACCTGCAAGGCGTGGAGCTCTTCCCAAGTGAACGACCCAATGAGTTAGAGTACGCCGACAACATTGCCCTTATCTGTGACAGATTTCAAACGTGCCAAGTAGCAGTGGACAGATTAACACTAAGTATCAGCGGTTTCGAACAATGCTTTGCACCCTCGAAGTGAAAAGTCCTTTAAGATTGGCAGGGACCCGCACCTGCGCGGACCCCTGGTGAGGATCAGCTAGAAGTCGTCGACGAATTCAAGTATCTAGGCAGTTACAGCAACGCCAATGGAATGGAAGATGTGATCACAAATCGCGTAGCAAAAGTACGAGGCGCTTTCGCCAGTTTTCGCCACCTGTGGCGTCGGCGCGATATCACCTTTGCTCTGGAAGGCAGAGTTTACAATGCCGCCGTTCGTTCAACCCTACCATATGGTTGCGAAATCTAGCCCACCAAGTCGACAGACATAAAGAGGCTAGTCACGTTCGATAATCGTTGCATTTACAGGTAAGCTCATGTATGTTGGGAGAATCACATGAGCAATGAATGTGTTCGGCGTCGTGTATTCGGTGAAGGAGGAGCGAGTGATGCGCTCAGCACGGTTTATTTCAAGTACCAGGCTCCGATGTTGGGCCACGTGTTGCATCTGACAACCCACAGACTCCCATGCTGTGCGTTGCCTGCGCGCCGGGGTGTGGATGGAAGAAGATGAGGGATGGCCAAACGATAACTTGTTCAAGAGTAATGAAATCCCTCACTTCGAAGTTGGTGTCGGTTCGTGTTCCCCAACTGCCTGGCTGGGGTCCAAAGGACGACGAACACGTTTGTTGGGT